ATCTCTTGGAAGAACTGTTCTTTCATTCACTCTCTCTCTCTCTCTCTCTCTCTCTCTCTCTCTCTCTCTCTCTCTCTCTCTCTCTCTCTCTCAGGATTACCATTTTTGTAGACAAGAAAACAGATTCAGAAATTCTCCAGGGTCACAGAGCTAGTGAGTGACAGAGCCAGTCTTGGAAGCCAGGTCTGTCCGACCCCAAGGAGCTGGGATCTTCTGTTTGGATACTGTGACTCAGAGTAAGAACCTCCTCTGAGTCGGAAATTATAAACTTAGAATTTCACTTAATAATTCACCAGATCTTCAGATGGAAAGACATTCTGAAGGTTGTTCAGGCCTATGACCCAGGTGGATGTCGGAATCTCCCGCACAGTGTCCCGCTCCTGCCTGAAGACACCCACTCCAAGGAGGACATTCTATTTGCTTCGCCCTGGCCAGCTGAGAATTACCAGACAGTGCTTTGGGGTTTAGAGCTGAGATCTCTCTCCGGTACCATCCACACACTGAATCTGCCCCTGGGAACACAGAGAACCTAAGCAGTGTCGCCTGCTCCTGAAGTGTCCTGCTCCAGACTACGCATTCTTGATTCTTTCCGACCTACTGTCATGTGGCAATTTGTCACCACTCACCTCAGAGTGGGGCCTAGTTTGTCTGCTTAGTCTCAAAGCGAGACTCCTGCATATTTCACGGGTCTCAGTGTGCTGGGGACTCACTTGGACCTTACAAATGAAACGCTGAAGCGCCTTTCCCATGTGCTGTCCCTAAGCCACACCCTCCCCCACCCCTCGTCCAGTGGGCTTTGGGGTGCTCAGAACCTGTCCTCTCTGTGTAGGCGATGCCCAACAAGTGCTCTGGGGCAGTTGGGTGACCCCATCCCCCCTCCACCTGGGCCGCTCCTCAGTTCCCCTGGCACCACTGACCCCCCAGGGCTCAGCCACGTCCTCCTGCTGGCCCCAGCTCCGGCTGTCCACTCTGAGACTGCCAAGGGGTCACCCTGACCCAGTCGCCCTGCACCAGGCATGCTGGCTCTTAATTCTCAGCTTCCTTGCAAACCCCCAGGGGTTACCTGGGGAGTTCTGGACGCACCCTCATGCAGGCCACGTAGAAGCAAGGGCCACTGTCCCAGGCCCTCCTTATGCTGAAGAACAGCTTGCCAGCATTTCTACCGTGCCATCCACAGGTGGCATCCTGTATAGACATCTGCAAGGGATGCTCTTCCCAGTGACCCGAATGTGAAGTGGCCCCTCTACTTTCCACTTCCTGTCACTGGATCTGAGCTGTTACTACCATCTTGCCCACCCAGCCCCGGGTCTGAGGGTGGTGGGTGGGACACTCAGCCTCTTACCCTGCTTCCTCGTCCCGTCCTGTCCCAAGCTTCTCCCAGCACCGGATGGGTTCTTCTTCTGTCCTACAGGGCAGGTGCTTCCTCTGCTCTCTGCGCGATGGCCTAACACACCGCTCTCTGTTCCCATCCCCACGCTTTGCTCCCGACACAGAAAAGGGATCTGCTTGGAAAGCAGAAAGCCTTCTCCCTCTCCACAACCAGGCTCTCGAGCCTGATTATTAGCTTGCGGCAGACTTTCACAAGCTAGTTCAAAACATGGAGCTGCGCGAGACTTCTCTGTCTCGGGGTGTGTGGGCCTCCCCTGAAGCCATGAACCCACTGAATCAGGGAGCAGGAGCACCTCGATTGTTGAGTGAAAACCACTCTAATATCTCAAAAATAAGATCGCATTTCTTTCTCATGGCCCAAGACAAATATCTGAAAGAGAACTTATCGTTTCTGCCTCCCATCCCCAGACATTCTTGTCTCCTCGCCACCAGGTCCTTGCATCCCACCTTGGCATAAAGGTCATACCACAAATGGACGCCCGCATAACTGTGTTTTTGACACCGGCATTACCACATGTAAAATCAATGACGCTGTGATTAATTCTACCCCGGATATATCACTCTCAATCCACTTAACGCAGGTGGGAAAGTGGGGCTCGTTGTGGGTGTTTAAGCCACATAGCCCGATTTGTTATAAGCACAGACGAGACAAGGTCTAAACCAGTGGCTACTCTGCCTCCCAGAGACCCCCCTGAAAGAATCAGCCTCTACACCCCACGCTCGGCTGACACGGGCCTTGGGCTCTGTGCTTCTAAACCTCATCCTCGCCTAAACCATCAGATGTCCTCCAGCCACTAAGGCCTCACACGACTCTGCCTTGACCTCGACTTTGGGCCAGTCCCCAGTCGGCAGGATTCTGTGGGTTTCTGTGGCCTTCACCAGAATCCCTTCACACTCCGTGACATTTCCCTATTGTGGGCACATATTTTCACTTGCTCTCTCTAGTGCACTTTAGGCTCATTCACCAGCAAACCCCTGTGACCACTTGCACTGTCGGGCGCTGTCCTGGGCACTGCAGCCACAGCGATCAAAAACAGGCTGGACAAAGCCTGGCTTTGGAAATTCCATTCTGGAGAGGAGACGCAGGATGCACAAGGACACGGGGACACAAACGCGAGCCCTGCAGACTGACTGACTATGTGCCGTGTTCTTCCGAGGAAATAAATATGCCGGAGTAAGAGAGCGCCCAGGGAAGCCCTTCGAAGAGGGAGATCAAGGCAGACTGCTCAGGGGAGGGGGCTGGTATTGACACTGACACCTGCCAGATGAGAAGAGGCAGCGGGGAGGAAACGCGTCCCAGGCCCCAGGCGGGATGAAAGCAAGCAAGAGCAGGAGCCCAGAGATGGGGGTGAGCCTGGCCCCCCACCCCCGGCAACCCAAGGTGGAGGGCGCCCAGGAAAGGGAAAGGAGAGGCAGGGACACCCCGAGCGCCTGGCAGGGTCGGGGTGAGCTCGGTCTCACTCTGCATCCTGGAAGGTGAGTGAGCTGATGAAAATTTCACAGATCCCTCGGGCTACTGTGCGGAGAGTGGCTCTGGGGGTTGGGGCTGGGGCGGGGAAGGGAGTGGGGAGTGAGAAGCCGGAGGCGACCGCCCTGTCTCTGTGAGAGCTGCCGTCCGGGGCTGGGGCGAAGGCGAAGACGGAAGGCGGTAGAGGAGGGGAGTGCGGTCTGGACGGGGCTGTCTGGGAGGCACGACTGACCTTTGTCTCACTGTTGTCCTCAGATGCCAGGAAAATGCACGGAGGAGCATTTCGCGAGCGGGGTCAGAGAGACAGGTGGAGTGGGGCGCGTGCCTGACCCAGGCCTGTGGGGGGCCTGGGAGAGGTGTCCTGCTGTGTGTGCGCTCACAAACACTAGTGCGCACACACATGCAAATGATTTGGGGGAGAACGGAAAGCCTTCCAGAAAGATCCAACAGGGCCGGGGGCAGGAAGAGGCAGAGGCGTGCCAAATCCTAACAACCTGAAAATTGGAAGAAGCTGTGCTTCTGGCCATGACATCATCGCTCCCCTCATAAAGCACCAATGGGACATTTCCCGGTCATGACAAAGGAATGGTGAAAATTAACTGCACATCACAGCTAAGCTGCTTTCTCCTATGGTTTTCTCATAAATACGAGGTTTTCAGCTATAGAGGTGGGCATTTCTAGGCTAGCTTCAGAATTTGCCTCCATTTGTAACAATAATGCCGCCAAGGAATGGGTTCCAGGTTCCTAATAAGTGACCTATAAATAAAGCCTCCAGCCCAACTCCTCAGGAAGTTTGCTGTCTTATCCACCCCACCCCCACCCGCGGGGAGGGCCCAATCCCCTTTTCACACATCACACCGCCACAAATCAGCCTTTTCGCACAAATCGGTATCTCTGCTGCTTACTCATATGCAGCTTGTGGCCAACTATGACACTCCAGGATTTATTTTCTCCTGCAGTTTTGCCCAGAAGGCTTTAAGCTGTTAGTTTCTATGCCAATTCGTAGTAGAATGGCTCAGAGGAGTCATAGCAGGAAGCATTTTTTAAAAAATCTTTTAAAGAGAACCATACCTTCTAATGAGCCAAGGCTAAAGAAATTACAGTATTTTAGAGTCAAGGGTGAAAACAATTTCGTTTCTAAAGACCTCTAACTGTAACACAAGATGTCCCAGACCTCACCAGTCCGAGACACAAGGACAATCAGAACCGGTATTTGGCAGGTTCTGAGTCACACCTGCTCTAGGCTCCTCCAACTCCCACTCTGAGACGCCCCACCCAGTGTTTCTGGATGTCTCTCCAGAAGGTATCCAGAGAGGACAGTGCTCAGGAGCTCAGAGAGATGGAGGCTTCACTGACGACTGGAGGTACGAGCCTCAGTTTCCTCACCTGTAAACTGTAAACTCTGACAGCGGGAATAAGTCTCACTTCGAAGTAATGTTCTGAGGATGAAATGATCTAATACCTAATAAGGACCGAAGCACAATGCCAGGCATTTAGGAGTGCCGAGTAAGTGGTCCCCACCACGACCCCACCGTCACACCATCATTATCACCATCATTATCGATACCCCACCACACACAGCCCGCAGCTCTCTCTCTCCGCCTCCCCACCGAGGGCTCTTTCCAGGCCATTTCCTGCCTCGGACAGAGTCCAGCTGTGCCTCCCAGGATCTCTGCGGTCCCCAGGCACATAAGTGTGCTCCAGCCAGCCGGCCCCACCGGGCATGCCCGGGCACGTCTCGCTCACCCTCAGCCACAGGCTGAGCCACACAAATTCAGAGGTCCAGGGACATGCGGGCAGGAACACGCCACGAGCAATCCTGCCACTCCCGATCCCGCCCGCCCCCTCCTGCAAGGCGTGCCACCTCCAGGCTCCCGGGCCAGGAGACTGAGGCTCTGAAGAAACTGGCTCCTGGCCAGGATGACAAATAAATCCTGAGCCTTCCTAAGAGTCTCTGAAATTGTCAGCAGGCCCTCGGAGAGGTCAGTGGTGAAAACCAAAGATAAATCACCCCCGATTAAATAGGGCAAATGGCAGGAAATGGCTGGGAGCACAAGGACAGTTGGGGTGGCAGACAGAGGAGAGGTGAGGATAACGTGGCAGCCCCCCCAGTTCCTCGCCCATGAAAGTCCAGCGTTGTCGACACAAAGCCAGAAAAACACCTCAGGCAGTATTCCTGCAACAGACTGGAATGCCAGCGCCGTCATCTGTGGTGACCTTTGACAAGTCTCTCATCTTCTGGGGGAACCAGTTTCCTCATTCAAAACCAGGAGAGCAGCCGAAATTGCATGTCCATCTGCAGTGAGGCCACCGCCGTCACCTTCACCTCGGCTAGCTCAGTGGATTCATCTCCATCCTCCCTGGCACCCGCTCTGTGCTGGGGACCCTCAGGCCTGGAGAGTGAAGGCTAGCGAAAGACGCCAACCCAGATTGTGTCACTCCGACATAAGGGTTATTTTGAGCTGAAGGCAATGGAGAAGAAAATAAAAGGAAAGCCCTCTGCCCTCCCCTATTTGTCTAAAAGCAGCAGGACATAAATTTGTACAGATGTTCCCCCTCGCCCCTCCCCTCTCTCCCAGGAAGGTCAGAAGTTAATCACCTGGAGGACTCCAGACCCTTCGCAGCCCAGAGAAGGCGCCAGAGAAGTCTACACGATAAACTCTCCCAACTGGCCCTGATCTTCCATTACTTTGCCCAGTACATTTACCTTCCCAGTTTGCCACCCTGAGAAAGCTACACCCCTTTCTCTGTCTCGTCACTTTCCTATCAGCGTATTGTCCTTTTGTTACAATGCTACGTAGGCCCAGTTTCTAACCACCCCTTTGAGTTACTCCTCACTGAGAGCTCCCATGTGTGCGCACGGTGTGTAATAAACTTCCGTGTGTTTTTCTCTTGTTTATCTGTGTTTTGTCTGATTTGCAGGGCCCCAGTCAATGTACCTAAAGCGAGTAGAGGAAAAAGGGCCATTTTCTCCCCCTCCCCCAGGAGCAAAGGACGGTGGTGGCCGCTGGAGGAGGCTTTGTGTAGCCGGGCAGAGGCTGCAGCACCATCCCAGGCTGACTCGCAAACAAACCAGAGGTGGGCCGGTGGGCCTCAGCCCCGATTGCAAGTGAAAACCATCCGAGGGGTTTGGAAATGCCAGTACCGGGGCCGTGCTCCAAGCCCATGAAATCAGAGCAGATGCTCCTGCCCTCTGTCCCCGTCCTGGACGTCCGGCCTCGGCTGAAACCTGCTTCCTCTTCGATGCATCCTGATTCCCCAGAACCTGGACTACCGGACCCTCCTATGCTGTCCTGGCTGGCTTGTGCATCTGTACCCCGCAACTCTTGGCTCCTGGGGGAGGAAGGGGGGACTTAAGCTTATCCTTTATGTGACCCACAGTAGACACAAGAGTACTTATTGGATTTTTAAAAAACGAATGAATGGATCTTATTTTTATGATAATTTGCCTCTTCCTAGAGCTCGACCTTCTCACTAAGAATTGGGGTTAACCTCAACCCAACATGTGTGTTCAGGGTTTCTTCACCGTGCAGGTGGAGCACTTCAGAGGACTGGAAATTGCTGAAATGGGAAAACAGGAGCCGTCAACGGCCAGGACGGCAGCTCCTTCCCCTCTGACACAGGAGTAAAGGCGGCAGAAGGAAGCCGCCTCTTCCCTCCTCCACGGCCAGGTTTGGGAGGCCAGAATTCCACCCTCCTCCGACCCCACCCCTGCCCTGCTGTACCCCTCTAGGGACATTCTTCATCTGTGTCGCCCCAAAGGTCCCAGGGACCAACATCTGGGACGGGGACTACGTGGTTGTTGTCTTTGACCCTCAGTACTAGCTGGTGACTGGGCCACTCAGCTCCCAGGGCATCCAAGGTTCTGGGGTCACTGGGAGGCACAAACTGTGATGCCATGAGTTCTAATGAGCGAGCTCCACGCCTCGGGGGAGAATGAAGACCATTCAAGAAGAGAGTTTAGGGTTGATTCGATATGGCCACCTCCAAGTCCAGAGAACACCTGAC